CTTAATTGTTATGCATTTCACTTTATGTTATTGAGTCCCACTGTCAGAGGTGTCATCTCAACACTAGTTGAATCTTGTATATACGAGTAGGACTAACGGACATTTCGGACATCATCTAGTCCTACATTTAATATATTAAAATTTACATTGTTTTTTCATCTTTCATTGAAAGCTTTTCCAAATGAATGGGACTGAGACAAACCAAAGGAAAATCGCATGCCTGAACTGCTGAACATCGCATACCATGATACCACTAATGGAGAGCCGTATGCTTGAGACCAAACATGCCAATAAAAAGGGGATAAGGGTTTCTCCTTCATTCGTTCAAAGCCTTTCACCCTGAACTGAACATACCTGAAATGAACCAACAGAAAACCGCATTTTTGAGCACCGTGTACCATCAATAGAGAACCAAATGCCCAAGACTAAATGCTTCCCTAGACAGAACCAAATGCCCATGCTTCATACTCCGAATGGTGAGACCCGTGTTAAACATTTATGCCCTTAATTCTAATCAGATTGATGTACTTATTGACATTTATTATAAATAAATAAAGTACATATTTGATTCATGTTATCATAGTCTATTTCTATGTAATACCCTTAAACTGGACACTTATGGGACTCGTGTTAGTTTAGAATCTTTACAGTTGTTAGATAGACCTGTGAATGTTTATCCTACCAAGACTGATACTAATGTATTGCCAAGAAGGTTGGGGTGGCTTGTCTAAGCTGCTAAGGTGAGACCTAAAGTACATGTAGTGTGGATCTGATTGAAACTCTGAATCAGACCATTTTTCCAGTTATGCCCTAGACCTTGAAGACAGATGGGCAAAACTAGAAAACTACACCTAACCCTTAGACTCGATTATGGTATTACACTAGGTGTTAGACTAGGTTGTCTTTGTTATGCCAATCAGTGAGATCCTTAGTGGAAGTCAAAACTTGGGTATGTTGGGACAGTTTGAGAATTCAACTGAATAAGTGACAATAGTGACAGAATCAACCCCTTGTCGGACAAAGTGAATGATCAGGGAATGCACTCTCTCTCTAATGGAAACCTAAACTGCCAGCAGTTGATTTCAAATTTGTTGAGATTTGTTTTTGTAAAATATATTTATATAAAGATATACATTTATATTATGGTTTTACAAAATGTTTGCAAAAGGTTTTAATTCCCGGGATCCATGTAAGTAGAGAATGCAACACTATACCTTGCAGCTGAGGAAGATGTCATCTTTTGTCGAGCAGTGTTTGATCATTATGGGCTAAGAGGTTAAGTGTAAAACCATTTAGGGTTGTCACTTGATGGGCTAATCTCACATAAGTCCATAGTCCTTGGGCTTTCATAAGGTGGCTGGAGCCAAGGGCCATTTAGTGTAAATGTTGGGCCTACTAAGAGCCCAAACTGATGGGCTCAGGGGTTCACTGTCTTCAGTAGTGAATTCGGTCAAACCTTGTAACAGAGACTAGGCTGAACCCATATGGCTTTTGTGGAGATCAATGCTAAGGTCCCATGCCATACAAAGAGAGCCAAGCTAAATAGCATTTAAAATGGGAAAGTGAGTCATATGACTTAATGGGCCTAAAGCTCATATGACTTTAGGATCAGCAAGAGGATAAGATATCTCTTATCCACTTAAGAGTCCAAATCCAAATATCAGACTTTGATCAAGAAACTCTTTCCAAATCGGATTAGGAAGCTTATCCAAAGAAGGTTATAAATAAGGGGGCAAATTCCTCAAGATAAAAAAAAACAATTCAGCATTTTGTAGTTTTCTCCCTCAGCTCTTATCGCCCTTACCCAATTCGATCTCCATTCTTGGAATTCATCAAGATTAGATTTTGATATTGTTTCTTGCTAGAAGAAACATTCTGAAGTTGTGCTCACACCCTACGTGATTGTTGCTGAAGAATTTGGGTTCTTGCTAAAGAACCTCTTTACTGATCCTACCTTACCATAAACAGTGTCATCATCAGTGGAGGCAGCTTTTGGTGACCTATTTGGGCGTGAACACCTACGTTGGGAGCTACTTGCATGGATATCAGGTATCCCTCTTCCTCTTTTGGTTTCAGATCTGGTCCAGTTTGTTTCAAGAACAAATCTTGAAAAATGCAGTTTTTCTAAATTCAAGGAATACGACTCCTGGATGGGAGAAAGAAAATTTTTGAAATTTCGCCCAACCATCCTACATGGTTCGGCCATCCATATGAGGGATCTCCCTTCCCCACAGTGGTATCAGAACCAGGTTCAAGTCTTGAACCAAATTTAGACCAGATTTAAACCTGCACAAATGGGTAGAAACAGCTTTACTCGATTTGCACAAGTTTGCAGTTTTCTGAGAAATTGGTTCCAAGTTTTGGGTGTGTGATCTGAAATTTATATCTTTATTTATTTGGAATAATTTTAGAACTGTTTTATTATTGTTTCTTGGATTCTTGGGCTGTTTGTGTGATGGAGATCAAAATCTTGATTGGTGCCAAGATTTGTGCACCCTGTTATTTTTATTCTATTCAATATGATTTGTAAATAAATTTTTTTTTATTTTAGACGGAATTTATACAATTTATTCTGATGTTAATTAATAGAAAATTAGGTTTTTCTATTTTTTTACATTGGAAGAAGTGTTGGTTTGCGTAGAGGAGGAGAAGAAGTTTTGTAGATACAAGATCTACAATTTGTGATTTGCAGAAATTGTTTTTGCTATCTACGATTAATCTTTTTGCAGGTTTGCAGGTTATCCAAGATCATCACACTTACAACCCTCTGATTTTATTTTCTTGCTGATCTTGATTGTCTTTTTCAGCTATAATTAATTTCATATCACTTTCTTGAATTAAATCATGAATTGGACACCAAACCCTAGGCCGAATTTGACGTAGTTTAGTCCAAATTGGTTGGACCAAGCCCATGGTTCAATGGGGTTAGTTATCTGACCCAAATTTGGTTATGGGCCAAGGGTTTGATGGCCCATTACAAGATGTAATTCGGCCCACCCCTATAAAACCCAGTTTTGATAAGTTAAAGCAGAATCAACCCTATTTCAGAATTACAGTTATATGGGCCAAACTGCCTTTTGCAGTTTAGCCCATATACCTTGATAATATTATGGGCCTTAATGGGCTGATGATGTGTTAACTTTAATTAATTAGGGTTTTATAGTTTATGTGATTGATTTGATCAAGTTTTCATGCATGTGCATGTATGTGATGTGTGATGTGCTACGTACATGGGCCAAAAGCACTTAGCCCATGTTCATTCGTTAGTGGCTCTCTACACACACTATGACTGAATGCACATCATTGCCATGGTGCCCTAAAGATCATTGGATGATCTCCCTTTTCGATGGGCTCTAAATAAGCTTCCTCCCCAAGAGGAATCCTATGGAACCCTAGCCGTATTGTGCCCATTTGAATCTAGCTTTAAGAAAGTTAGTGGGAGCCACTATGGTTTGACCTAAATCAGATCTAGGGATGTAACAACTTATTCCCTCCAAATTTATATAAGTGCATGTGATAAGGACATTCATGTGATGAACTCGAAGGCCTTTTGTCATTAGCATGATGATGGGTTTATTAGTAATGAGGAGATGCACCATAAAATTGGATTTTCCATTTGCTGGTGAGTTTGTTTGAATGTTTCAAAAGATGATAGGGGCGTCATAGACCGATGTGGGAGGGGCCTATCCTAAAATGGAAGACTCTCTCACGGTACCTTGGCGTTCACGAATATGACGGGTCTGCACTTACTAGACATAAAGGTTTAACCTAAAATGGCAATGAACCTTGTCTAATAGAGGCCAAAGGAAAAACTAATAAGGTGAGTGGATATGATCCTTAACAGAAAGTGGTGGGGCTTTGCAACTAAAACAATTAGTTCCATGCACCGTATGTGATTTTCCACATTTCTAGAGACATAACCGCATTTCCGTCACTGAAATGGGAGGGAAATCTCAGAGATGAATAAATGGAAATGGGACATAGATTAAAAGACTTTTTTATGTAAATAACATGAATCAATTTAGGTTGTGGACTAATAATTTGCATTGCCTTTTATTAGAAATGGCAAACGGACAATTCACTAAACTGTTGGACAATAATAAGCTTAAGCGTCCAAATTATGTTGACTGG